CTTAAAATTGTCCTATTGCGATGAAACTTGGCACACACATTCTTCAAGGTGCGTAGAGTGCCGTTATCTATTCTGATTTATGATACATAGTCATTATCAATAAAAACATACCAAGAAATGATACAAGAAACACTGAAAAAAAGAAAATTGGCAGATCTGTTCATTTTTTGTAGTAACAGCTTTTTTTCTCATAATTTTAACCTCTTAAATGCACACAGTAGTTCATGACAAGCATAATAAGCTATTACACAAACATCTACACAAAAGTTTTGATGTCGAAAAAGCGAGAGTAAAAATACCTTTGTTTTGCTATTGCATGTATAATAACTTTAAAAGTAATGAGGCCACACAAAATCTGATAACAGTTTTGGAATCTACAAGAAAAAATATCTCTGTGGCTAAATTTTGGAAATCCTAACTTGAAAACTAAAGAAAAAGTGTTTTCGAGTAGCGTCTCCCCTTAACTGAGAAAATATGTTTTAATTTGTTCTATTTTCATTTCGTTATCACTAAAGATGATGCAAACTTGTGATTTGGCATTGAAAGCTATATAGATGCTGAATGGTCCACAAGGCTGGTCCCGAACTTCATTCTGGTAATGCACAACCATGCGAGTTTTGGAGTCACAAATATATGTAAGAACAGATTGTCTCAACTGCTGATGCAACCTTTGTGAAATTAATAAACAATGGCCAATCACGTGCAACCCACTGACAAAAACTTGTGAACAAAAAAAATAGTACTACTTTGCTTTATGAGCATGCTTCTGTGGTCATAATTAACTTCACTATTAATAATTAAAAAGCTGCTAATTATTTGAAAACTTTTCAAAGAGCACTTGATATTCACTTTGATCTGCTTACGGTGATATTTCATTCACACTCATTCACCCTAACCTTAGTTTTAAAAAGGGCTGCAGTCGAACCCCGCTACAACGAAACTGACGGGGTGCAGGTAAAATTTCGTTGAAGCGAAAATTTCGTTGTAGTGAAATAGAAAAAAATATCGCTAATCCGAGCTAGCAAAACAAAGGAACAATTATTCTCAAAATTCAAAAAATGTCTGCCGCTTCCTATTCTTTTCCAGCAGCGAGCATCGCAACGTGATTCTCACCCATCCGTAGCAAGGCCATGGTGAAAAGCACGCTGAAACAACGCCTAAAACCGCTCTTGTGAATGAACCAAACAGTTGCATTAACACGTTAACACCAGCAGCTGTCAAAAGTATCCGGCAACGCCGAAATGGAGGCAGGGTATCGTGGAGCGGCGACTTTTGCATTATTCGATGCCATTTTTATCATCCATCACTTGCGGCTAGCTGATTTTGTTGATAATGCAGACGAACAGCCGCTCTGATCAGTTACCACACTGGCCAAGCACGAACATAATTATAAGCATCGGAATCAGAAAAGGCATCGTGCCGCAGTTGCACCCAGCAGCTACGAGAAGGAAACCATGAACTGAGCGACTGAACTTCAGCTTCGGATGGTCTGCGGCTCAAAAGCAAGCCAGTGGCAAAACAAAAGCAGGGCAGTTTCATTGCCATCACTATCGTGCAATGGCGGCGCCCAGTGCTTGCTGAACAGCGGCGGTTTTTGGTGGTGCCAACGCGTGTTTTAGACTTCGTTTATGCATTTTCAGGCTCTGAAAATGGATCGAAATGTTAAAGATTCGGTTTACTGTATAGCAATAAGTATCTGAGCCTGGAATCACATAATAAAATTTCATTGAAACTGGACAATCGAAGAAAAAGTGTTCGTCGTGGCGGCAATATTTATGCATTGACTTTTATGGACTGCTGATGAGGAATCGTGAATTTTTCGTTGTAGTGGAAATTTCGTTGAAGCGGTGTTCGTTGTAGCGGAGTTCAACTATATTCACACACCCTTACATATCAGCAGCAATTTGACACCTTTCTTTCTTGAAGAGAGCGACTTAGGTAATGCGCCAAAAGCCACCCGTTTGTGCTGTATTTATAGTGCTGTGATGAAGCTTATTATACACACAGTGCACACGAAAAGAAGATTATAGACAACAAAATTACCGGTATAACAAATGGTGCACGCAAACGCTTGAAATAACCCAATCATGTGGCTATGAATCTGGTCAGTAAAGGTGATGTGGGCTCTGACGTTAGTGTACCATACCATAAAAAAAAATAGAAAAGCAGACAGTTGTGGGTGCCCATTGTGTTAAATATTTTAATGAATGAAATGCCTAATTACCCACCCCCAAGCCTTATTTATTTAGATTTTGAGTCTTCAACATCTTCAGGGATTATTATTCCCTCAGTAGACTCATTATCAACCTGTTCAACGCTTCCACGGAGCTGCAAGCAGTTTCCTACAGCAGCTCATTCACACTTACATTTTTCTACATACAATTATCTTACACACCTCGTTCATATTATATGTCTCTATACTTCTGCTGCTTTCTTGCAGCATTGTGCGGTTGATCAGTAAAGTCTTACACTGTAGAAATACAGCCTAGGCTAGTTGGTAAGGGTCCATTTTGAATGCAAGAAGTGGGGCGCAGTGCATAACACAGGGACTCGAAAAGAGAACAATGACCCATTGGCAGTTTGGAGGAGGAGTACTTATATTTTTGATTAAAACACTGCACTAATATTTTGGTTCTTTTCTTGCGTCAGCGATTTCTTTTTTTTATTTTTCCTAATTTTTTCTAAAGCATGTGCCTTGATGATTTTTCGTAAAACGATAATAGCTTTTTTTTCAGCATTTTCCAGCTTTTTTCAGTTTTGTAGGCGAGAGAACTTGTACCACGTGATAATTTTTCCAAGATATATACGTCTTGACACTTGTATGCATGTGTTCTTTTCTTTTCCAGTCCCTGTTACGTACTGTGCCCCACTTTTTCAATTCAAAAAGTCCTACACTATTCCACCTGAGATGGAATTGAAATGCAGCAATTTGAGAGTTTTAGAGTGCGCTAATACAGCCTCTGAGCCTTATCTGGCGGTAATTGGCTGCTAAAATCTTCTTCTGGAAGCATGCTACCGTAGTGAAGCCTTGTAACTTAGTACTAATGGGTTTCACTCTGCCGAGACATTCCCCTCGAACTAAAGTAATGATGTACGGGAATGGATTGGTTACAAAAATGGCGGCGTTGTCCCGAGTGACTTCCACAGTCGCAAAAGGTAGCAGCAACCCTTTTCTACTGCAACCACAATCAGAAGGCGAAAGGAGTGCAATTGTGTCGGACAGACCAGCGCAATAGACCGACACAGCCGTCGACGAGCTTGGAGCCACTGTTGTATCGTCTTTGATGAGAATCTTGCACAGTGTCAAGGGGTTGTCTACTAGCGTCAAATATGAGAACAGTGAGAGTTCAATTTCGGCAGAGGCACAATGAATGATGGCGTCATGGCAGGAGAGAAAATCCCATTCCAGGATGACGTCGTGTGAGCATGCAGTAATGATGATGAACTCGACGACATACAAAACGTTTTGAATGACGACGCGAGCAGTGCAGACTGCTGTAGGATGCATACTCTGTGAACTAACAGTACGGAAAGACATCCTAGAAAGTAGCCTCATTACTTTTTGGAGTAAGTGGCAAAGTTTTGCGTCCATAACAGATATGGCAGCTCCCGTGTCGATAAGGGCAGATGCGCGAACACCATCCACAAACACATCAATGACATTTGATGAATTTCGCTGAAGACTTTTGCAGTTTGATAGTATCGCAGCCTTTGCCTTGTGGACTGCGACAACTACGACGACTAGTTTTCCTGCTCTTGAGTGGCTGAATGTGACCACATGGGGGACGAGAATCGATGTCTTGGAGATATGGGCCTGCGAAGAGACGGAGCTGGACGAGACGTCGGTGGCATAGACGAGGGTGAGTCATGGAAGAGACGGCTCAGCTGGCCAGAGACAGGTGATGGGACAGGAGGCGGATGCACGCGATGGCAATAACATGCCACGTGACCAGCGTAACCGCATGCAAAGCAGATGGGCTAGCTATCTGGTGTGCGCCATCGGTTCGCCGGAGTAGGTCGCACCCATATCATAAGACCCGATGGACAGAACAGTCGTTGCAATGGCTGCATGGTGGGCTGAAGGCGAGGCCTAGGAATGACGTCGGCATATGTAGCCAGCACCTCTCGGCCGCGGATGGAGGTCGAGCGGCTGCCGGAAGTACTTGAGATGGCCTGGCAACAACTTCAGCATAACTCTGGGGTACAGAAGCCAGAGATGCGTGGTATGCAGGCATGACCTCCGCAATTTCCTGCTCAATCGCTTGCGGAGGGGATAAAGGAGGGTGGTCGCCGATTGTTGAATGGTCGGCGGTATGTTCTTTTGAAAGGCCTGGGTTCTAATGAATGTTTCCATGTATATTTCTTCAGTGTGTGCTACCATAATATGCAGAGGCAAGAGACACCAAAACAAAAAAGTGTGCGCCACATGCTGGGTCCTTAATTGATGTAAAAGAAAAACTGCCCCTGACCGTGCCACTTTTCGAAAGTGAAGCCAACGTGCAGTACCACAGCAGATGATGCAGTTTAGGACTCCACTCCCTGAGCACCTATGCATGCACAAGCCAAGCTACTGTCGCCGCCTAACTTCAGAGCTCCCCCCATCGCGATGCAATTCACTTCGAATTTCGGCCCTAAGAGTAAAACAGCCTGTACATACATACTCCACATAAAACCTGGTGCTTACAGCTTTCTTGCTAGGGTGGCCTTCAACATTGTACTTTGTGCATGTTGTAAATAAAATTGGATTTGACTGAAAGTACAATGATGTACAATGATGTAGCACAATGAATCGCGTCACTGTGCTACGTAATTTTAGAAAACTTCTTGAATTTTACAGATATCGGTGAATACAGTTTACCAGCAGATGTTGCCTTTGCACCATATTCATTTCCCTCATTCAACCAAACATTAGGTCTTTTTAAAGAAATGGAGAGAACAAACTGCTTCGTTCATAAAAAAATTGCCCAATAGCAAAAGTAAGAGTAAGCAAGCAAGCTTACCTGGTCGCTGATGCCATTATGCACCTTTTATCAGGGCACTGACATTTGGTGTCCTTGTCATCATGCTCCATGCCGAAGTTGTGGCCCAACTCATGGGCGACAGTAGTAGCAACCACACCGACAACTTCATGGTGGTCCTTCAAAAATGATTAAAACAACCACATAAAAAACGTGAATATCCTCACCACAATAGATAATTAGCTTAGTGAAGTAATTTGCCCAATCAGCATAAAAATACAAGACTGATAAAAACAGTGGATGACACAATTGATAAATTCAAACATTATTAAAAAAGCAAGCATAGTATGTATGTAAATAATCAAAACTGAAAATGAATTGCCACATGCAGTGCAACTGATATGGCAACATAGGCATGCTATCCCACACACATTCTAGAGGCTGTTGCAGCATGTTGAAGTTGAAAAACTTCTTCAGTTAGAGAATTAAGATGTCGCAGGAAACCCTGTGCCAATTTGAGCTATAGAGTATTGATTAGTCACTGTCCTGACATTCTAGAAACTGTTCCACAAATCTTCAGTGATGTCTAAATGTCGTAAGGTAGCTGGCATCAGTAAAACAGGAAAATATTTTTTAATCCAGAGCATTTATACACTTGGCTAGCAAACCATGTTTTACTTTAAGGAGCACTGACACAAAACTTCAAAGGCAAGATATTAAGTGCCGTAGATTTATGTGGAGGCATACATGTCTACAAAAATATCAAGGGCAAATATAGCCTAGAACATACTTAAAATCAAATCAATCAGTGGGTCCGGTGGCGGCATGGCGAACTGCCGTTTCAAGCACGTCTGTTTCATCTTGCAGATTGCCGTTATCGCCGGCTGTCCGGATGTTCTGATGCATGGCCCTTCAAGCGACACACTGCGCAGGCTCCTACCACGATTCAGCGGCGATCGTACTGACGGCCATGTGCAATCTTCGACGGGGCGGGAATCTGCTGCTGCTGATCGTGTGCAGGATTTTCCGCCTGTTGACGTGATTTCGATCAACCATCTGTACTGTTCACGGCATGGTACAGTGGCGGCGCTGGCAGCGAGGATGCCCAAGGATATAAGAGCGGCAATGTGGAACCATCACTTCAGTGGGTCCGGTGGCGGCATGGCGAACTGCCGTTTCAAGCACGTCTGTTTCATCTTGCAGATTGCCGTTATCGCCGGCTGTCCGGATGTTCTGATGCATGGCCCTTCAAGCGACACACTGCGCAGGCTCCTACCACGATTCAGCGGCGATCGTACTGACGGCCATGTGCAATCTTCGACGGGGCGGGAATCTGCTGCTGCTGATCGTGTGCAGGATTTTCCGCCTGTTGACGTGATTTCGATCAACCATCTGTACTGTTCACGGCATGGTACAGTGGCGGCGCTGGCAGCGAGGATGCCCAAGGATATAAGAGCGGCAATGTGGAACCATCACTTCAGTGGGTCCGGTGGCGGCATGGCGAACTGCCGTTTCAAGCACGTCTGTTTCATCTTGCAGGTAACATACAATTACAAATGCTGCAGAAGTGATAACCGCTGTTTGCTGCTGCTACCGGACCCTCTGAACTTTACTGCCGTTGTGACACATCTGGTGCATTGCTTAAGAGTATCATTACTGTTACTTTGTGGCGACATAGAGACCAATCCCGGTCCCAAAGTTGATGAAATGTTGTCGCAACTACTGTCTGGACAAGCCCGTATCAGCCAGGAATTAGCTAGCCTATCTGAAACAGTTGCATCGTTTGAAAATCGTCTAATGAATGTTGAGGCAATGGCGGCGTCTGTGTCAAACATCATACCACGTGTAAGTGAACTGGAGCAGACCGTTGGTACGCTTCAAAAACTAGTTGGTAAGCTTGACCGTCAGAACGATGAGCTAGAAAACAGACTCCGTAAAAACAACCTGATAATTCATGGTTTGCATGAGACACCATCCGAGACGACTAACCATTTGCTTGAGTCTGTATTGGATCTGCTATCAGTTAAACTCGGTGTAAATTGTGACGACATAGAGCGTTGCCACAGGCTTGGAGCAGTAAGAAGAGATAAACCTCGGCCGGTAATCATTAAACTGATGGACTTCAGGTCAAAGATTGCCATCATGAGCAACGCCCGAAAACTTAAAGGAACTAAAGTTTATATAAATGAGGACTACTCTGCTCGGGTTCGACTGGCACGTAAAATGCTGTGGCAGAATTCGCAAAATATGCGCAAGAATGCTAGGAAAGTGAAGCTTAAACACGACACCCTCACAATTGACGGTGTTCGTTACACGTGGGACACTGATAAAAAAGCCATTATCAAAGTTTCTACGCACTCGCTTTCAGCGGGGTCCGACTCTGCGAAATCGGCTTCTGCGCAAGCGCTTGGTATAAACTCAGCTTCATCCGCTTCTGTTTTCGCGAAGGCTGATTGACGTTGTGATCGGAATATAATTGTCCTCAACTTAAATGCGAGGAGTATACTAAACAAAATTGAAGCTCTGAACTGTTTAGTGGAATGCCACAGCCCATCAATTGTCTGCCTTACTGAGACCTGGCTAAATGATACTGTTATTGACAGCGAAATTTCGCCTGCTGGTTATGCGCTTCTTCGGAAAGACAGGCGTGCCGGACGTGGAGGCGGTGTGGCAGTTTTAATTAAATCTAATCTTGAATTTTCTTTATTACCTGACCTTCCGGGTACAGAAACCATTTGGTGCAAAATATACATTAAAGGTATCGTAATAGTTATTGGTGTCCTCTACCGTCCTCCTAACTCCGATGATATTGTCCCTGCTATTAATGATTACCTTGTCAGTAACAAGTTGTACGATTGTAGGTTACTTTTGGCTGGAGATTTCAATCTCCCGCACGTTAACTGGAACTTACTTATCCCAACAGGGCGTGACAGGACACTTTGCGCTTCCCTGATCGATCTGGCGGTTTCTTTTGGGTTAACTCAAGTTGTAGATACCGAAACACGCAAGGACGCAATATTGGACCTTGTATTTGTAAACCAGCAACTCTTATCGCACGGTGTAAAATGCGAAGTCATCGATGGGTTATCTGACCATAAAGCTGTCGAAGTTGCCTTGAACTTAGTGTGTCCACCTCAAAGACCTGAGATAAAAACTGTTTTGAACTTTTCTAACGCTGATGATACTTCCGTATTGGACACTTTAGCTTCATCTTATGATGAATTTGTATATTGCAGTGAATTTTGCAATGTAGATACGCTGCTCCTTAAGTTTTGTGACATTGTGCGTGAATGCCAATCAAAGTACGTGCCTCAAAAGTATATTAAACGGAACCCAAGACACCCATGGTATAATAGAGAAATCATTCAACTCACTCGTCGCGTAAAGCGTTTACGTAAGAATCGTCATTCCAGGTGTAACGACAATGTTTCTTCATTTAATACATTGAAAAGTAAATTAGGCACTAAAATGAAAGAGGCTAAAAACTACTACTTCAGCAATACTTTGGCTAGATTTATGAAAAAAAATCCATCCAGGTTCTGGAGATCGATTAGTCCTGTATCGTCTATACCTTCATCATTTATTGTTAATGACCAATCCTGCTCAAATCCCGAAGCTATAGCAAATGCCTTTAATAATTATTTCAAATCTGTTTTTTCCACTGATAACGGCATCAAGCCTTCGTTTTCTGCATGCAGCAATCTGTCTGCTCTTCCTGATCTTGAAGTAAGCTCCTCTGGAGTACATAACCTTATATTAAATCTTGATGTAACGAAAAGCTCTGGCCCAGACGGTATTCACAATGTCTTTCTAAAAAGATATTCAGAGTGGTGTGCTAATTATCTTACTGTAATATTTAAAAAATCACTAATCTCTGCAACAGTTCCCCAGCTGTGGAAATTAGCAAACGTCGTGCCTGTATTTAAGTCTGGAAACAAGCAATTAATACCAAATTACAGGCCAATATCTTTACTTTCTACCAGCTCTAAACTTTTGGAGCATATCATTCATAAATATATTGTAGAATACCTAAATGCACACAATATACTTTCCCGATCACAGCACGGTTTTCGTGCTTGCTATTCTACTGTTACACAGTTGCTTGAATTTACGCACGACGTCGCTTCTTCTCTTAACGACCGAGGACAGATTGACGCCATATTTATTGATTATTTAAAGGCCTTTGACTTGGTTTGCCATGCTAAACTTTTAGTTAAACTTCGCACATTTTTTGGTGACAATAAGCTAGTTGACTGGATAGCAGATTACTTGCGGTCACGCACACAATTTGTTACGTTTAACCATGTGAAATCGTCTGAAGTACAAATCACTTCAGGGGTGCCCCAAGGTTCGGTGCTTGGGCCGCTCTTGTTTATTATCTACATAAATGACGTAGCAGAAATTATCGGTGACACACAAATTAAACTAAGAATGTATGCAGATGACTGCGTTATCTATAACACCATCTCTAGTGTTGAAGATCAGGAAGCCCTGAACAGTGTTTTTTCATTGTTTTGTAATTGGAGTGAAAACTGGCAAATGTCAATTAATTTCAAAAAAACTGTAGCCATGACCTTTTCAAATAAGAAACAGCCTCTTAGTTTTGCATACACTAATAATGGTGTCAGTCTAGCTCGTGTCACGGAGTTTAAATACCTAGGTGTAACTCTGACAACAAACTTAAAATGGCGCACGCACGTCGAAACAATCTGCAACAAGGCTCTTCGAAAACTTTGGTATCTCCGACGCACTTTAAACAACTCGACAAAAGAATGCAAATTGACAGCGTACAAGACCTTGGTCAGGCCCATACTTGAATATGCGTCGGTTGTTTGGTCGCCTCACCATAAACATGACATAGCTATGTTAGAATCTGTTCAGAAGAAAGCAATAAGGTTTATTTTTCGTCGCTATGACCAGCGGTTCTCGCCTACTTCGCATGCGCATGTTTTATCACTGCAGTCTCTAGAACATCGGCGCACTTGCGATCGTATCATCCTCCTGCATAAGACTGTTCACACAGGCTTGGGTGTTCTAGCGCCCATTTCTTTTGTTGCAGCTTCTGCGCGCCGTACCCGACGATTTGATCCCTTAAACATTACGCCCTTTAGAGCTAGTCTCGACTGCTTTAAGTTTTCCTTTTTTCCGTGGACCGTGGATCTATGGAATGAGCTTGATGGGTCTCTGCGCAGACTCGATGCTCTGCAATTCGAAAAAGAGTTGCGTAGTCATGTATTCTGATAATTTGTTTTACTGTTTGAACATTTGTATTCCACTCCTGCAATGTCTCAAAAACTGAGACAGCAGTATTTGTAAATAAAATAAAATTTTAGAAGTGCAGGACATGTGACTGAGAGAGATACAGCCCCTCGCAATGCCAACATCAATGCAGTGGCAATGTAAACAAACCTACGTCATGAGTTAGTGTTGGCTGGGTGCTCGTGCTTGTGCTACCTGCGATTTATTCCTGCACGCCTGCAGCTTAGCATGTGTGGGCTGTGCTGGCTGACAGTGTGGCACCAGCTTGCGTGCGTGGCGCCAAGTCACAGTTTTGTGTGTTCGTGTGGCCGGCTTGTGTGCATATTGACACCAAAACTGCTCCTGCTTAGCTCGATGCGCTTTAAAACTGAAACAGGGCACTCTAAAAATGTCTCTAAATAAATAACCATTGTACACTCACGCAAATTAGGTTTCTTGCCATGGTGAGTGGGTCATAAGCTACGTATTGAAAAAAAAAAAGTCTTTAGAAATGAAATGTGCAACATAAAATTATACCTGCTACCGAAATAAAAAAAAAACTAACTAGATAATGTTATATATTAGTAACTATAATTTTACCTAGACATGCATATTCTCAAAGAATGCAGTCTAAAAGCACCACTTAGAAGACATATCTATATTCATTTATGACCACTAAAGATGAACCAAGTATGGAACGTCTCCTCTTCACCGCACAGAGCACCAGGTGTTCAGGCACGTGTATGTACACTCATTATTGTGACAAAGTGGCCCAATACCTTGTTTAGATAATTTAAACTGAAACTAATTTAATTTATATCACAATTAATTTGATGGACTTTTATAGCGATGTATGCACTAATTGTGCTACTTGATGCATCAAACAGGTGAAGTACGTCTGCAACTTAGAGGCACCCACAAAAAAATTTAACCCACGATGCATTTAACTCAAAACGTGAGCCTAAAGTCAACTAACTTGAGCCTAAATAGTATTACTACAATAATATAAAATAATAATAATAATAATAATAATAATAATAATAATAATAATAATAAATCACGCAAGAACTTGATTATGTTCTTTCTGCCACAGCATTTCAGACTTATAATGAACTGCGAACAAATGCCTCCAGTCAAAGCCACAAAACAACCATTGTTAAAATTCAGATACATATACAGAAAAAAAAAAGGCTTTCAGAATAACAACCACTGGGATCACCATAATGGGATCCCCATAACTCAATGCAACTAACCAGAGCTAGCTATTTGGAGCACAAACACTTGAACTTCCTTCTACAGCTGTTGCCAGATAAGAAATGATTCAAATGATAAGGAGCTGTAATTATTTATGTAGTTGATGTGGGCAAGAGCATGCTAAACATCTATTAAGCATCTTGTATTCCTTACAGCACTCGTTACGTGCACATTGCATGCTATCGATGCCATCAATTAGTGCTTATAAAATAAAATTACAATTTGTTGAATCTTTACAGTTCAATTTCATGTCCCACTGATGAAAATACATTTACAAGCCAGAAGATAACTAACAAAAATTAGTACTTCATGTTATAACTAATCAACGGTTCATAATTGAGTGAAAGGCTCATGACTGTGTACAGCCATGCCATTCATTATCATAGGTTGGCAAAAAAAAAAAAAAAACTGGAGCTTACTAAGACTCACTCTACAAATGTCATCTGCTCTTAATGGATAACTCCGACTGCGACTCATCAAAATTTGCCTCAACCGGATCCACTCAGACTTCACCCGATTTTGAGTGAGCCTGAGTGAGTTGACTAATGAGTCAATGAGCATAGAAATAGCTTTTTTGACCATGGTGTCAATGTTCTATAATGTCAATATCTCATACAATCTGTGCTCCATGATACACCTTTTGATCGTACACCTTCAGATATTAGCTATCAGTTGTTTTAGTCCTATAACGACAACATTATGACACACAGACTCACAGAAAATATTTTTATCAAGAACTTCTCGTGAAACAGTTTGCAGGAAATGTCATGGCACTTCCCTCTCCCTTGATTCCTGCCTCTGATCAATAAATATTAAGCTGGTGCAAGAGTGCGAGTGCATTGAGATATGTGTGAATAGACTTGACTACAAACATAAGCTAATATAGGGCTGACAGTAATGCTGGAGATTAGCAGACAAGACCATAGGTTGGCAATAAAAAGCTAACCCAACTCACTCAAGAAATATGTCTTGCACTTATAGACTCAACAATAATTTTCTCATCCGGGCTCACGCAGACTCAGAGTGACTAAAATTTTGCTCGAGCGGACTCACTTAGATTCAAAACTCGCCAAGATATTACTCACTCTGACTTACTCAGGCTCAGACTCACAGGCCAACCTGAGTCTGGGTGAGCTCGAGTGGGTCCACCCATGAGTGAGTTTGCCAGCCTATGTTCATACCTTGTGACAAATGCAGTGAATGTGCTTTAGTAGCAAGATAGAGAGGCACATAGTCACTGTAGACATAATTCTGTCAGTGTTAATATACTGAATGAATAAATACACTTCCAGCATTTTTCATATGCCCACTGTCTACAGATTATTTAGCTCTGTAAAATATGGCATCACTTTGCAACACAAGCTAATGCCGAATTTTCACATGTCAAAATCACAAAATTCAATAAATAAGTATGCTGGATTTTTACTAGAAAATAAATTCATAAATATACTATTACAATAAAAAAAAGCAGTGAGAAAACACACAGCTCTGTGGGTAAGAAAGAATGTGTTTAAGTCACAAACCTTGTTGACACCACCAGAGTATTCGTATGTGCAAATGGGTCCTTTCAGTGCCTTTCCAACAACACTGCTGTCCAATACAATGTCTCTAAAAGAAACAAAATAACTAGATATGAATATCAATTAAGTTCTTTTTATTAGTGCAAGAGGCAAATGTAACAGTCGAACCCCTCTACTACAAGAGACCCTGGCGTAAAAGACAATTGGGTATAAGAGACACCAGTGTGCCCACATTCTAAGAGAGGATGATAAGAAAATGCATGCATCATAACTTGCTTATAAAAGACACTTCAAATACAGCCAAACCGCTTAATAAGAGGCACTGATGTAAGAGACAAATGAGTATAAGAACTACTGGTGTGCCAACGATGGAATAGGGGTTGATAAGAAAAGAGAGACGTGGTGCCCTGCTTACAAGACATCTCATATAAAAGAAAAATGGCTGCCCAGGGCACGTCTCTCCTAAAGGCGTTCAACTGTAAAAGACAAACAATAGCTCCCGAGTGCATGTCTCTTAAAAAAAACTTCAAGTGTATGTTTTAGGTTTACTGTGACACATATGCAAACATCGACACCTACTTATTATGGAGTGGGCACGGCGAAGCGGCTGGAAAGATGCCGCTAACGAAACGCTTCTTTTTCGTTGTACAGGCCGTGTTTTTCATGCTCGCCGGGCCATCGGAACCTTGCACTACCGGGAATGAAGTTGCGGCGATTACATCTGTCTCTGCTAACTACTGTCCAGTGCCTTCATCGAATTTGGACATACTGGATACGCCCCCTCTGGAACATTGCATGCCCGTGACGTCATCGTTGGATCGCCCTTTTAAAGACAGGCCACACAGTTGGACCTTCAGTGGGCACGGCGAAGCGGCTGGAAAGATGCCGCTAACGAAACGCTTCTTTTTCGTTGTACAGGCCGTGTTTTTCATGCTCGCCGGGCCATCGGAACCTTGCACTACCGGGAATGAAGTTGCGGCGATTACATCTGTCTCTGCTAACTACTGTCCAGTGCCTTCATCGAATTTGGACATACTGGATACGCCCCCTCTGGAACATTGCATGCCCGTGACGTCATCGTTGGATCGCCCTTTTAAAGACAGGCCACACAGTTGGACCTTCAGTGGGCACGGCGAAGCGGCTGGAAAGATGCCGCTAACGAAACGCTTCTTTTTCGTTGTACAGGTTAGTTTTTCTCTTTCAAATCATAGGTCTGGAGACGAAATTGTACTTCTTATTGTGCCGTGCCCACAGACATGTTTTATTATTGCATATGAATGTTATTTTGTTTGCAAGTTATTGCTGTGTGGAGATGTCGAGCAAAACCCTGGGCCAACTGTTGATGAAATGTTTCACGAGCTCTTGAAGGGACAATCTGATATCCGAGCAGAACTTGTAAGCCTTAGAGCACGTTTAGACTCAACAGAATCATTAATAAGCACCTTTGGAGTGCGTCTGAATAACTTAGAAGCAAATGTTAAGCAACTACAAACTCAGAAGGGCGTGAGCGAATCGATACAGGAGTCTGTAGATTCCATTCAGCAGTTAATTGATATTCATCAGTCCAAGCTGGTTGACCTTGAGAATCGCAGTCGCCGGAATAATCTTCTTGTATTTGGTATCAGCGCTGCTGGTAGTGAATCTGAAGCAGAGCTACGTGAAAAGGTAGTGAAGGGCATATTTCATGATCGATTAGGGGTGAAATGCACGACAATTGCGCGGATTCATAGATTAGGCAAGCCGGTATCAAGCAGACGTCCTGTTATACTTTTTTTCCAAGATTATACGGAAAAGCAAGCTGTGTTGCGTCAAGCACATAAGCTGAAGGGAACCAAAATTTATCTTCAAAACGACTACTGTCCTGACACACTCCGCAAAAGAAAACTGCTATGGGCAACTGCAAAAGCAGACAGAGAAAGCGGTAGCAAGGTTGCTCTTGTTCACGATAAGCTTCGTATTGATCACACCTTTTTCTGTTGGGACGACTCGCTTAATGCGCGTAGGAAAGTGTCACATGAGAGTGCCGTAGGGAATCCCAGCTAGCAATTAGGGGAGCACCAACTTCGTTTGCTTTGCTTCAATGCACGGAGTATAACAAATAAAATTGAAAAGTTGGAAAATATTTTGCTCACGCACGATCCTCATGTCTGTGTGATAACAGAGTCTTGGTTACATGAAGCCATTGGCGATAGCGAGATAGTTCCGCCGAACTACCAACTTTTTCGATGTGATCGTGGTCATCGGGGCGGTGGAGTGGCTGTCATTATCAAGTATGGCATTGATGTAACTATTGCTGAGCGTTTTCCAGTGAGAGAGAGTCTGCTTTTAAAACTTTCATTTGCTGATATGTCATTTTTTCTCTGTGCGGTTTATCGATGTCCTAATGCTGATGATTCTTTTATGAGCGGTTTGTACGATGAACTACTACGTCTACGAAGCAAAAATCTTATTTTAACGGGTGACTTCAATCTGCCAGCCATTAATTGGGATGATATAAATTATGGTACTTCTTCCTCGGCTGACACACTCTTAGACATAATGTTTTCTCTAGGCCTTGAGCAAATGGTAGGACACCCCACAAGGGGGAGTTCGATACTTGATCTGCTATTTACAACGGAACTCTTTACCGAAGCGACTATCACAGTTGAAACCGGTATTTCTGACCATAGATTAATATCATTTGTTTGGGACAGGCATGCACGTTGTAAATCAGTGAAAACGCCAGTGGAAAGTGTTGTAAGAGATTTCAATCGAGCGGATGATGTTGCAGTAATTGATTATTTAGAAACACATCTCCCCACATCTGTTAGTGATGTTGATAGAGCCTGGCAACGCTTCCGTGGTATTGTGGACTTCTGTACAAAGAACTTTGTCCCGCTTAGGAGAATACGCAGGCGTTCACATAACCCATGGATAAACCGTGAGATTATAAAGATCAAGAGAAAGATAAAAAGGTTACGAAAAAAACACAAGACTAGTACGCAACATTTTTCCGATCTTAAAGAAAAATTATTAGAGAGTGTTAGCAAGGCTAGGCATCAATTTTTTAACGACACACTACCTGAATTCATCAGGACAGATCCTGATAAATTTTGGCGCTATATTAAGCAAACTAAAGAAGGCGTTTCTGAAATACAAGTTGATGAGGTCACGATAACAGATCCGGCACTAATTGCTGATCATTTTAATAAATACTTTCAGAGCGTCTTTTCCGAACCACAGTATTATGAACTGCGAGACCCGATGCCCATAATCACGGATGATGTTCTGATAACTCGTGAAGGTGTTTTACAAATGTTACTTAAGGTTAATCCTAAGAAATCGTCAGGCCCTGACGGCATTGGTAATTCATTCCTACGACGCTATGCTGAACAAATCACTGACTTCCTTACTGCCCTTTTCAATGTATCATTCAAATATGGTCAGATACCAGCCGATTGGCGTAAAGCTCGTGTTGTGCCGATCTTTAAAAAGGGTAACCGCTATTCCTTGACAAACTACCGTCCTGTTTCTATCACTAGTAGCTGCTGTAAAATGTTAGAGCATGTTGTTGCAAATTACATTAACACATTTTTATCAGAAAATAATATTTTGTCGCCTAATCAACATGGTTTCCGAAAAAATATGTCTACGGTAACACAGCTTGTGTCTACAGTGCATGAATTCGCACGGGTTCTAGATATATCTGGGCAGACTGATGTGTTCTTTTTAGATTTTAGCAAAGCGTTTGATAAGGTGCCTCATGGAAAACTTTTGTTTAAACTCGAAAATATTGGGCTACCTTCGGGCATCGTTAAATGGATTCATATGTACTTAAATAACAGAACTCAATTTGTTGAGGTCAGGGGTTGTTTTTCTTCTTCGCTAAATGTTTCTTCTGGTGTGCCACAAGGTAGTGTGTTAGGCCCCTTGTTATTCTTAATTTTTATTAATGATTTAGTTGATGTCGTACATAAGGACATATCCGTCAGATTATTCGCGGATGATTGTGTTGTTTTTAAAGAAATATGTTGTGTAAATGACCACATATTACTTCAACAGTCTCTTACAAGTATAGATGAGTGGTGTCAAAACTGGGGCATGGAACTTAATAGTGACAAAACAGTTCTCTTGAGAATAACAAGAAAACGAACTCCCAGCCTTTATACTTATTTTCTCCGCAATAACCCACTCAAAGACGTAGAAAAATACAAATATCTAGGAGTCACTTTGACAAAGTCACTTACGTGGTCAGACCACATTACAAGCATATGCACGGCTGCACTTAGGAAACTGTGGTTTCTTAAGAGGAAACTTAAATCCTCAACGAAGGAGACTAGATTATTGGCATATAACACCTGCATCCGATCAAAACTCGAATATGCCTCGGTTGTTTGGGACCCTCAATGTAAAAAAAGATATTGCCTTGATTGAAAAAGTTCAACGGAAGGCTGTCAGATTTATATTTAGCAAATATAAAAGATATGATTCGCCAACACAACTTATGCAACTAAATGATATCCAAACACTGGAAACTCGCAGGAAAATTAATCGGTTAACGTTCCTACACAAAATTCTTTCCGGTAAAGTTACAACAAGTCTGCCCAACTGTGTGAAACCTCTATCTTCTAGAAAAACAAGACATAAGCATAAATATTCATTGGCGCCAGTTTTTGCCCGTACCACTGCTTTTAAAAATAGTTTTTTCCCTAGGACTATTGCTGACTGGAACTCTTTACCAATAAGTGCTTTTCAGTCCGAAGATATTGAAAAACAGCTTGAAACTTTTTTTGTTTAGTTCTGAAAGATGTATCCATATGGTGTGTATTCGCAGTGCCCGAGTAATGGAGTTAGTTGACTTCTGCTGCGCATGAGTGTTCTGATCACTGTTTATGTGCCGTAACTCTGTTGTGCAAGTGCACTATAAGTTGTCTAATTAAGTGCTGTGACATTGTACTTTTTTGTTGTTTTTGCCCCTCCTGCTTGGGCCTAAGTATAGGCCTGCAGAACCTGTAAATAAATAAATAAATAAATAAATAAATAAATTATTATAAGGGTTTGTGTGGCAACAGTGCAAACACCACAATGCTATAGAAAGGTCAAATCACAACAGTTCAATATTTATGGTGTGCTGTCATGAATGAATTGATGCAAATAAAAGAAGCATTGCCTTAATAAGACTAAGGTAGTACTATAGTCAACGTCTAATTTTTCAGACTCCCTAGGAACCATAAAATCATCTGAAAAAACAAATCCATGCTTTTTTATTCTGCTGAAGCAGTCAAATCACCAGAGCCGTGTTTGAAATTGATGACTCCTGGTACATGTAAAAGGCATTTTGGTTCTCGTGAACCCTTTCTCGTGAACAAGCTCTCGTGAGCCCACTTGGTTACCAGTCACCAACGCCACGTAATCATGTGCCAATCATTAACTGCAACCTTGCGTCTTGTGATGAACATCGCCGACACCAGAAATGCACAGAAAAGCTATTTCTCTATCACATGGAGCATTTTGAAATGATGATGCGGAACACAAGGGCTGTGGCAGAACAGAGGTGGCTGACTTGTCTCATTCTTTGCAACGCCGTTGCGCACATAAATGATGTGCTGCTGAGTGACCATGTCCGCCGACGCGCAGAATTTCCTGCCCCGTGAAGCAGACTTTTTCTAATTGTGTGCAGCATGTCACAATCTATGTTGAAGCCATCACTGCCATGACGCTTGCTGTGCCGTGAGCACGCTTTTTCTGTAAAAGTGTGCGTTATGCAAACTTCGTTGTCCAACACACAAAGGTGCAGCAATGGCGAGCTGTTTTCATTTGTGAAAGCAATGTAGCTGTGTGAAATATTTAGTGGTTTCACACAACAAGGCAGCATGAACAAGACGGTGCGGCGCGCTTGTGTTGCTATTAAATGCATGAAGTAAGCGCACCACTGAGCTAGGCCTTGTGCATGACAGAGTGGTTGGCTGAAGATGCTAATCATAAAAAGTTGTCAGCGATTACGTCGTACTGGCATGTTTTCCATGTTCTGCTCTGACGCTGCATGCATGTGCACTGCTCATTCGTAAAGCCATTGCCACACTGTGTTTAAGTTTGCTTCATCCAACAACCTTTAGGCATTGCTGCAAAGCTGACTTTCAAACACTGCCACAGCTACAAACAAGTTAACTCATGGAAGCGCTGGTTGGAACATTTGGGTTCAAGTTCAACATGCTCTTTTTTATTCAGATGCAATTTCAGTGGTTAGGAAGAGCAGAAACCTAAAGTGGTTTACGAGCCAGTTAACGACACTACACTAATTCACAGCCAGTCTGGCACAATAAACATCAACATGTTTATTGTGCTACTGATTCACAGGCTAGGCTCGAACAATCCAGGCAGTACTGTTTAAATGACTGCACTTTAAAGTTCACCAGTTCTTGTATTCTTTAGAATACTTAATTTAAACTTCTGTTTATTTTTAATCATGTGTTCTTTTAAGTGCTTAGCGCATCAAATTTTATCAGGAAGTGGAAGAAATCAGCCGTCTGGCAAACTGGAAACAGCGATTGCTGCTTTCATGAAATTTAGTTAAAGAATAACTACAGCATAACATAGTCATATTAGGGGCACAGAACAGCATGATAAGCATGTGGAGCTTTTGGTCATGTCTATCCCCGAGTTCTCCGTATTGCTAGTCACACTGAGAACAAGTGAAACAGTAAAAACTATATAGATGTGCGAAAAGCAAAATTTTACACTCCTCAGTCCCAAGAATGCGCTCATGAAAAAAGCTTTTGCAAAACTGTATAATTTATATTCCTGCCCTTAAAACAAATGCAGAAAAATTATGAACTCGAAAAATGTTGTCTCAAAATAGGATGGTACTCATTTGGGCACTCCTGAACTTTTGAAGTCTTTATGATTGCGTGCAACAAAAGTATCAGATAAAATGAATTTTAATATGGTCTCCAGGGCATCCACAGCTAAAAGAGTGTACTATAGATAATGTCGTTAACGCCACAACTAAGAAAAAAAGATTTCGCTTATCACGAGGACGCAGCTGAGTGCTCGTACAATACACAACCATGCTCGTGCAGTACTCAGCCATTTTCATTCACTCGTTTTCCAAATATGATTAGACACACGGCGCCACTTCTTGGGGCTCAGCGGAAGCAACTCATGCTTATTGGCAAGACAAATTTGAACACGCATATATCAAGTGGTGACCAGTAGCCTTTAAAACAACAGTACCCAATAGGGTACCCTGGGACTGAGAAAGCTATAGCTTGTTTTAACAGAGAGGGTTCCTAAGGACAAATTATCATTGAATATTAATTGAAATGAAGTAAAATAAAAAGTTTCATAAAGTCTGTCCAGCAACCAAGCTCATCGCATTATTTCGTACAAGTACACTTGACAGCAAAAGTTAACAGCTGCACAGCAAATGCAAATTTCTTCCTTGCCAGTATGTAACGCTTCTAAATCTAGCCGATGACTACATATAGAATACAATACCAACTATGTTCTAAAACATCTTTTTAGAGGTTTTGTTCCTGGATAAAACAAGAGTACTATAGCTTTCTCGAACTTTTGTGTATCGTGGAGTTAACCTGTTGAGTGTAGATTCAATTTGTAATGCCAACAATACATCGACCGCACAAATGTCCTGAAATTGTAAAAATAGCAGAATGCGATAAGCACAAAAATAGGCCAAAATAAATAAATAAGCAGATTAAGAAGAATATAAATAATGGCTGGTACCGATCACAGTGACAAGGAACCAGCTTGAGTTCCTTGTCACTGCCTTGGGTTCTGGTTCAATTCCTGCCAGAATCTTGGTGAGGACTCGGCTGGACAGTCCGACTACGAGTACATATCATAAAACAAGAATACTATAGCTTTCTCAAACTTTTGTGTATCGTGGAGTTTAGCTGTTGGGTGTAGATTCAATTTGAACAGACAACATTACATTGAGTGCACAAATGTCCTGAAATTATAAAAATAGCAGAATGTGATAAGCACAAAAATAGGCCAAATTAAATAAATAAGCAGATTAAAAAGAATATAAATAATGGCTGGTACCGATCACAGTGACAAGGAACTACCTTGGGTTCCTTGTCACTGCCTTGGGTTCTGGTTCAATTCCTACCAGAATCTTGATGAGGACTGGGCTGGACAGTCCGACTACGAGTACATATCGCGCAAGGACTCGGCTGGACAGTCCGACTACAAGTACATATCGCGCAAGCAAAAAAAAATGGCAACATTTTTCTTTGTTGTTGTTATGCGCTTCAACACAGAAGTCGTTGTCCGTGGCAACTTGTTGACTTGCTATTGAATGGCAATGAAAAGCAGTAATACCACACAACTAACTATACTTACGTTATGAGCTGAGCATTGTCATTTGGATGCTCTCGGGCAAGACGTTCTCGTCGATATTGCAAAAACTTAGTTAATGTTGCATCACCATCAGAAGACATGACTATTTCATCATGTTCCGTCCAAACGATAACTCCGACTAGTGCAATGAATATATTTAGTGGGGCATAGAGCTGCAACAGAGAAGAAATAGGGCCTGAATGAGTATTTCAACTATGAACTAAAGAAAAGGCTTTGTGTGTCACAGAACTCTGAACTAAAGAAAAAGGCTTTTTGTGCTATACTAATATCAGTAGAAATTAAGAAACAAATACATGTTACAACAACCGAAGATTAAAACATCCGAAACCACTCTTACACTGAGAAAAAATCTAGCTTTTCAGGTGGTAACTATGCGACATATGCTAATGCAATGCAGCAGCAATATCACATTGTGCCAACAGTAAAATATATCAATGCACTGTTACCTTCTTTTCCTTGCAAAGTTTTTTACACCTTTCTGTAGAAACTGTATTGCCCTCACTATGACACAAACTTGCTGATAGTTCAAAAGGGTAATGAATTTGGCTCGTCAGAGCATAACAAGGTGCAACAATGGCATGCAGTAAAGATGACAAACAGAGCAGCAGTGCTGTGTCTGTGATCTTTACAAACTCTGAATAAAATGCACTGCCCCAGCGATAGTAAGCGACCTGAGTTTCGTAAAAGTACTGCCTATTTATTCGTAATTTCCTGCACAATTTGGTCATTTTTTGGCATGAAGGTCTAGTTTATGCCAAATGTTTTTAAAAAGACAATTTAAAAGCCTAAATTAATTAACTTTCTTGGGAAGTCTCTTTAAGCTAGATGGGCAGTTTAGCAAGTAGCAAGTTTAGCAAGGAATAGCAAATAGCCACATTTAACAACAATAAAAAGTGGCTTAGTGAAGAACAAAAATCAAAAGGTCAGAGGCAATGTCAGTCAGTAATGCTGTATATTGTGTAAGTGCAAAATGGCTGGTTAACTGTTCACTGAAACAGTTAGACAAGAAATACTGTACATCATTAAAAAGAATATCTTAGTGACTATTATACACAATTCCTAGCCACAAATAGCATGTGTACACTGAGAATCATAACAACATACACGAAATATTTTGCAACATACAAAAATATCAGTGCCCTGCTTTTCGTGTAAAAATCACCATAAAAATTTGATTTTCACTTTTCTAAGCATAACATGTCTCTTGCCACTGAGAAAATCAAGAAGAATTAGCAACACAACAGTCGGTCACAAGATTTATGTAGTTTTGTTTAATATTCTTGAGGTTAATTCAGTCGGGTCATTTCAAGAAGACAAAGCTAGGCACATTGTTCTGGCAGGACTCTGCTTTCCCTTGTGTTCACTGTGTGTTCATGCATTGCCAGTTTTTCATGCAGGTTTATTTGTAGAACCATATAGTCCTGAGCAGGCACCCCTACCCAAGCAAATTTTTTACAGATTTGAAATATGCATCAATGACCCAGCAAGCATTCCCCCCCTCTACCAACGTTTTTTCCTTTTTTTTTTTTCAACCTTTTCTCCGCCACTGAATTCTGCAGCAGCAGTACCTAGAAACACAAGCTCTGATAGTCTTTAGATGTGCACAATTTCTTGATATTTCTAAAGTGTGGTGTGTTTGCATTACAACTTGTCAACCATTGTCTGAAAATTTTAGGAAGTCTTTTTCTCGTGCCATAACACACAAAATTTCACACAATCCCTCCCTTAATTTAGTACAAACAGCAAATGCGTGTGTGTTAAGTAAAGCACTTCATTAGAAACACAGGTGTGCATTCTTCTTAGAGGCTCTTACACTGCCATCTTGAGTTTCGGTCCACAACCGAGCAAAGACCCCCCTTCAAAACTTGTTTGATTACCTTTTGCAGTAGAGGGGTGCGGTTGCCCGGGATTTTACAGTAATGGTGATAGTTCTAGTCCTATTTAAGTTTCAATAATTATACAGCAATAAGAGACACTAAATGTGCCATCTCAAGGGTGACAAATAAGACTCACCGCATTTACTATGTTTGCTATTTGCTTGCTTCTTTCAAAAACAGCTTCTTTGTTTCGCTTCATTTTGATAAACTGCAAATAAATATTATTTTCATTATAAACAGAAGCACTACAACAGAAAAATAAATAAAGCATCAAAATGAAATGAACTTGCCTCTTTGTTATCATTGACAATTAAAAGCTCTACATAACGAGATCTTGCATTACTTTTGAATGGTGGCTGTATCACAACAGACCTTTTCCTCTAAATGAAAGAAAAAGAAAACATTGTAGTGTAAAGGCCCGACAATGTACAAAAACATTTTTATAGGCCACAAGAAAGTAAAGCTTACCCGGGAATGACTATCACCCCACAGGTTCAGCGAGTCATTGAACCCTGGTCAAACGAAAAATTGTATTAAAACATTCGTCCAATGAATTCCACAAAATAGTAACTTCCAAAAGCCACTCGATTCAATGCTTCACCACCTTGCTACGGCTATCAGCAATAAAGCACTTTCCAAAATTTTGGCAGAACTAAAGTTGTCCCGTAGCGATGACAGCAAAACTTACCGCATCTCCAAGATTTCTCTTTCATATCAGATGCTTTCAAGAACAAATGCTCAGGAGGGTCAGAGTGAATATAATGAATCTCTTTTCCGTCAAAGACAACTCCACTGTAGGGATGGAAAAGAGAGATCAGAGAAGAAAAAAAAAAATAAAACAATGACACTGAGCAATCAACTTGGCTTGAAGAAAATAAGACAGAGACTACGCAACAGTAAAAGGTAATATGTAGATTTCATAAGACTTTGTAAGATCAAGAGCTGGGCAGTGTCTGGATACAATCTTGGGAATATTTTTGAATTTCTGCATTTTTGAACTGAGATACAACTGAAAAGTGTATTTCTATTTTGATAATGAAATACTTTTACAATGCATCACTTCTATTGTGATACTGTGCAGCGCTCTGGTACCTTGTTACATTTTGGTGGAAATGATCTCACATGTCTCCAAAAGGCCAAGAAAGAAACTTTTTTTTTTTATAAACCAATAATAGGCCAAAGAGAAAGGGCAGCAGAGGGTCCCTAACAGAATGGTTCACATACGAGTGGAAATGTTTCGGTACCTTGATGACCCCAGAAGAGATGCCGCTATGCTGCACGACTTTCCGGTAATGAAGGTAGTATTTATTCATTATCACACTAACTTGTGCTGGTCTCCAGCAGTGGACACACTTTCCACATTTGCTGGTCTTTTGTTCAGGCCAAACTGACACTACGTATCCAGTGAACAGCTTATTTAGGAAGCTGCTGTTACTTAAAAGGACACGAAAGAGAAAAACCATTTTTCAGATATTAGTAAAATATGATTTCACAGTCCTGAAAACACCACTCTTACCGCAATACGAAGCTTGGTAAGCGAGAAAATGGGGGTGCCGCCATGCACTTTCTGCGTTATCAGATTACCGTCATGCCAGAGGTAGTGATAAACATGCAGCGGTGGATCCTCTACAGCCACGCTCTTCATGAGGTATACGCAGGCTTTCATTCGCAAAAGACTTTGAAACCGATTCTTTCGAAGCAAGTGGCTCAGCATTGCGGCATGCTCAGTGGCTGGGATCCACGTACAAGTTTTTGTGAAATGCATATAAAAACGTTCAAAACCATTAATTCCTGTTTTTTTTTTTCCTTGGTCAATCTATCATTTATTAACATCCACAGAACACATTCATGACCTAAAAATATTGATAATGCCAACTATTTCCCCCTGCTCGCTCAATGTCACAGTTAGTCAGCTTACATCATTTTTACCACTTTTTGCACTTTGTAACTCTGTTCTCACAAAACTAATGCAACATTTACAGATTACGTTAGAGCACAAGCTTTGGTTTAATTATGAATATTTCAAAGAAAATTGAAGATGACTTTTTTTTTAAAAATGGTCTTCGAAATATTACATTTCGAGAAACATGTTCTCATTAAATGTATCTGCTTAACGCTTGGCGTCACTCTCAGCAATAACGTTCAGCAGATTTGTTAACCTTACATGTGGTAATGCTCCAGAATTTTTTGGATAGTCTGGCATTTATGTGTGGAGGAAAAAAAAACTAATATTTGAGGAATATTGAGCTGTGTGCTGATTTCAGGATTTTTTTTTCACTTGAAAGATCAGCGCCAGAACTTCGAAGTAATAACAGTTTATCAAAAAAAAAAAACTATTCTAAGTTTGTGGCCTAAAACATTCAGACCTATAGCTACAACACTTTTCTTGTGGGATCTCATCGAAATCCCATTTTCGCGAAATTCAAAAGAAGCATGGTAATAAGGGCTGCAGCGCGAGCACAAAGATGCTAGAAGAAACGTGAAACAGAAGGCGAGGCAAGGAAAGCAAAGAGGACAACACGAGCGCTGACTTCCAACTGAATTTTATTATTCGCAGCACACATGATAATATATACAACAGGCAATCTATTAACAGCAAACGTGAGCAACGTGACATATTCTGGGGAAGGGTATGATAAAGAGAAGGTACAATAATAAAATGGCTAACCCTTATCTAAAAGCGTGAACTCTTTGTCATGCAAGGCCTCCGAAGATTGGCTCACACATCCGTCACCATGTTTTCTAATGAAATACGCCTCAGCTATTTCACGAGTTACTTTGTCCATGTGGCGTACCAGCACACTCACGCCCGGAAATCGAGGCTGGCATCCGCAGCTTTTACAGTACAGAACGAGGTTTGAACTAATTCCTTTGCATACATCATTCATATGTTCTCCTAACCTTTTATTAATGCACCGCCCAGTTTGGCCTATGTAACAACGATCGCACGTTAAAGGAAGCATGTAAACAACACCAACTGCGCAATCTTCAAATTTATTTATGTGTTTTAAGGCGCATGTCCAACTTTTTTTGGTGATTCCACTGAGGCGCTCATCCGTCATCCCGCAAATCTGGCTTACTTGGGTGGCCTTGCATGACAAAGAATTCGCGCTTTTAGATAAGGGTTAGCCATTTTATCATTGCACCTTCTTTTTATCATACCCTTCCCCAGAATATGTCACGTTGCTCACGTTTGATGTTAATAGATTGCCTGTTGTATACATTATCATGTGTGCTGCGAATAATAAAATTCAGTTGGTAGTCAGCGCTCGTGTTGTCCTCTTTGCTTTCCTTGCCTCGCCTTCCGTTTCATGTTTCTTCTAGCACCTTCGTGCTCGCGCTGCAGCCCTTATTACCATGAATTCCGGCCAACTAGCCAAAATAGCCGTTCTTCTTCAAAAGAAGCAGTTGCAGCTCAGTGAATGCTTCTGAATTTTTTTCTTTTTTCGCAAAACCAAAACTGGTTATGTGGTCCTGGGAACTCGGAAAACAAATATATTTTTTCTGGCAAAATTAAAGGGGGCTGATGTACATGCACCGACGTTCTTATCTGAACACAGCCATCTTAGTATCTGTATTTTAGGCCTCCTGCACATGTATTTTGATATCGGCACTCTAGAATACTTTTTTGGGTAGGTATATCTTCTCAGCCCTGGTAAGAGCTAAAGAATGTGCCTACACAAACGCATATGAAATCATCCAGAAATTATTCACTATCAATTCCACAATAGTGCATAGTTAAATATCACCAGGTAGATGGTTAAAAACATACAGACAAAACAGCTGCACATATCTAAATCAAGTAAATACTGCAAGTTTTACTGCAAGTTAACTAAAACAATAAAAATACTTATACATACAGCAAGCACAATCCAGAAAAAACAACAAAAGGGAAATGTGCCCATGTGAAACACCCCTGGCAAAGTAACAATAGGTTGTAGTAATGAAGTTCAACAACAAAATTTTCTGTTCAGCTCAAATAGGTTTTAGTGAAGAAGTCTAACAGCAAAATTTTCTGCTCAGCTCAATCTTGATTCTCTGCTGCTTCACTATTGTTGCAGCATGTGAATTCTCCTAGTGTTAATAAAACCCCGACCCTCTCTATAACTTTACATTATTCCATTCTGCACTTAGAAAAATATTTGATTAGCAGAAGAGACTTGGTGATTGCAACTCTTAGTTACCACCTAGGTTCTTATGTTCTACTACTTGAAATTGTGTTTTATTTTTATGAAACTTTAATCAAAGTGCCCAAACTGCTGTTCAGGTTGACCACACGAAAGACCTGTTCAGAAATACTATATATTGAGTCCTTTCAAAAATAGATGCTACAGTTCTACACTGGAAACCAAGCTATATTGCCTAGACCTACTAACCTCCCTGTTTTCAGGTGCAGTTTGAGTGCCTTGGTAAACCAAAGCAAGCATTACAACATTAGGTTTGGGCCAGGTATTATTCAAGCAATAGTTAAAACATTTTGTAAAATTCATTAAGAGGCATGCAAAAGCAGCCAGCAAGCCAAACAACTGAGCAGTAGCAGAATTGGCCTACCTGAGCCCATTGCAAGTGCTAACAGCCACCCAAGAGTTGTTCTGTCCACGCACAGTACCATGGTAGTAGCAGTGCTTGTTGTTCTGCATAAATGAATTTTACTGTCATCATTTTGCTGCCCCCCTCACATTACTATCACAACTATGAAAGACCAACTTACCCTCTTCATAGGATGATCTATGATGTGACTATTATTGTTCCCATGGTGCTTTTCAAAATAATTTAATGGCAGCAAGTCTTTTTTCATTCGTAGGTCTAACGTAAAAGGCTGACCAAATGCTTTGAAGATAACCTGTAGAACATCTTGATGAGCCTGAAACAAATGTCATGTTGTGTAACGATCAATCGCATGCACAACACTATGGCAAACACGACACAAGAATCTGCATGAGAATCTTTGACATTAACTTAGTAATCTTAAGTAAGAAAGCTTTCAGTACACAGTTTTTATTGTTTCTCTAAAAGAGTACACACATTCACACACCACCAGCAATCGCAAGTTATCCAGATCACTAGTTCCGCAATATAATTTTAAGAAAGTGTTTGTGTATTGTGCTGACTATTCAAGAATTTCTGCTATAACACCAAAAGGAATGTATAATCAACCTTGCATGCTACTAATCGATGACAACGCAGTGCCCATTCCATTGATACCTGAGCATGGTGACTTTTTTCAAGCCATGGCTGAATATCTAGCAAAACCTAGCACCAGCAAAATCTGATCAATTTCCATCACCAACGTATACAATGGTGACTCTGATGACCCGAGTTCAGTGCCAACAAGACTTGGGGTACGTGCCTAAGCGCATAGACAGGTAGCACTCACTGACGTCCATCGGTACAGTATTCTTTTACATTATATTTTTAATACCATACTGAATGGCCTTTCACACCTTTCTCCCTTACCTAGGCTGGCATAAAATGACGCTATGTGCGTCACTTAGCATCAACCGCTTGGCTAGAACAACACAATGCATGCGAGGCATGCCATGACCGGATAGCCTTTCTTGGAGTGCACACTATCTCGATATCTAGTGCGTGAAAAGTACTAGTGGCCGAATGGAACTGCGTATAACTGCACGACGCATTGTGCGACCAGATGCATAGTAGCTGTGGCTTGTTATATGCACAAAAATGTTGACAACGATTTGCTTCAGCCAAGGCTCCATTACTTGCAAATGGCGATGGACGCAATAGCAGCAGCAGTCGAGCATGCCACACGACACAGTGCGTACAAACATGCAGCGCAACGAGTTTCATGTGGTCTGGCATCGCCCCAGTTTGTTACGGCCTGTCAGAGGACTCATCTGGCTAACTTGTGTACAGATATCCAAGTCTTGTATTCATCATCATCATCAGCCTGACTACGTCCACTGCAGGACAAAGGCCTCTCCCATGTTCTGCAAGTAAACTCTGTCCTGTGCTTGCTGCTGCCACTTTATACCTGCAAACTTCTTAATCTCATCTGCCCACCTAACTTTCTGTTTCCCCCTAACGCATTTGCCTTCTCTGGAAATCCAGTCAGTTACCCTTAATGACCAACAATTATCTTGTCTACGCGCTACATGCCCGGCCCATGTCCATTTCCTTTTCTTGATTTCAACTAGGATACCACTGACGTCAGCTTGTTCCCTCATCCACTCTGCTGTCTTCTTGTCTCTTAAGTTACGCCCATAATTTTTTTTCCATCGCTTGCTGCGTCGTTCTCAAATTAAGCTGAACCCTTTTTGTAAGTCTCCCCGTTTCTGCTCCATAGCTAAGTACTGGCAAGGTGCAGCTGGTTTATACCTTCCTCTTGAGGGATAGTGGAAATCTACCAGTCATGATTTGAGAGTGCTTGCCAAATGTGCTCCACCCCATTCTTACTCTTCTAGTTACTTCAATCTCGCGGTTCAGCTCCACGGTTATTATCTGCCCTAAGTAGATGTAGTATTTTACAAGTTCAAATGCACTAATAACTATCTCAACTGCACTACTACCTCCCACATGCATATGTCAATTAACTAACGGCCCTCAGTCACCAGAAGCTACGAAGCAACTAACCACGGCGGCGGTCAGGTCTGGAACGCATCAGAGGGTGCTAAGAATCTCTGGGTTCGGACAGGCCCCCATTGGAACTTGAACTTGGCAACATTCAACGCTAGAACCTTATCTAGTGAGGCGAGTCTAGCTCTACTATTCGAGGAGCTAGAGGGTGTTAAATGGATGTAATAGGGCTCAGTGAGGATAGAAGGACAGATGAGGCCTATACAGTGCTAACAAATGGGCACGTCCTTTGCTATTGTGGGCTGGCTGACCAAAGAGAACTGGGCGTGGGGCTCCTTATCCACAGAAATATAGCAGGCAACATAGAGGAATACTATAGCATTAATGAAAAGGTGGTAGATAATGTAATTAAACTCAATAAGAGATATAAGATTAAGGTGGCACAGGCTTACGTGCCTACATCCAGCTGTGATTATGTGCCAGTTGAAAACTTCTATGAAGATGTGAAAAGATGTGAAATTGGCAATGAATAAGGTAAAAACACAGTATACTATGGTGATGGGCGACTTCAATGCCAAGGTAGAGAAGAAGCAAGCTGGAGACCAGGCAGTAGGAGATTACGGCATCGGTACTAGAAATGCCAGAGGAGAGCTGTTAGTAGAATTCGCAGAACGTAATAATTTACGTATCTTGAATACTTTCTGCCGAAAACGAGAGAACCGTAAGTGGACATAGAGGAGCCCTAATGGAAAAAGTAAGAACGAAATATACTTTAGCAAGTGAGAACAAAATATACTTAGTGCACACCCAGGCATCGTGTAGGATGTGGAAGTGCTTGGCAAGGTACGATGCAGTGATCATAGAATGGTACGGTCTCGAATTTAGCTAGACTTTAAGAAGGAACGACAGAAACTGATATGCAAGAAGCCAATCAATGAGCTATCACTGAGAGGGAAAGTACAGAAATTCAAAGTCTCGCTTCAGAACAGGTACTCGGCTTTTATCGAGAAAACCAGCCTCAGCATTGACGCAATGAATGATAATCTGACGAGTATCATTAAAGAGTGTGCAGTGGAAGTTGGAGGTACGATACTTAGACAGGACACAGGTAAGCTGTCCCAGGAGACAAAGAACCTTATTAGGAAGCATCAAAGAATGAATGCCTCATATTTAATACAACAGACAAATTAGAATTGGCAGAGCTTACGAAGTTGATTAATAAGCGTAAGGTATCCTATGTAAGAAGGTATAACAAGGAGAAAATTGAACACGCTATGAAGAATGGAGGAAGCGTCAAAGCAGTGAAGAGGAAACTTGGGATAGGCAGAAACCAGATGTATGCACTAGCACAAGGAAGGCAAAGTAACTACCAATATGAATAGGATAGTTAAAATAGCGGAGGAGTTTTACAGAGAGCTGTACAGTAGCCGGCAAAACTACGACCTTAATTTAAGAACTAGCAGTATCCCAGATGGCATCCCAGGAGTAATAATAGAATAAATAAGAAAAGCCTTTGAGGGATTGTGAAAAGGCAAAGCTGCTGGTGAGGATCAGGTAACATGAGATTTGCTGAAAGACGGAGGAAAGATCGTGTTAGAAATAGCCACCCTGTTAACGATTTGTCTCCTGGCGGGAAGAGTACCAGAATCTCGGAAGAATGCTAACATTATTTTAATACACAAGAAAGGAGATGACAAGGACTTGAAGAATCACAGGCCGATCAGTTTGCTCTCCGTCGTATACAAGCTATCTGCAAAGGTAATTGGTAATAAAATTAAGACCATATTAGAATTCAATCAACCAAAGAAACAAGCAGGATTTCAAACAGGCTACTCAACAATCGAACACACTCATACTATCAATCAAATAATAGAGAATTTCTCAGAATATAGCCAACCACTGTAAATAGCCTTCATTGATTATGAGAAGGCGTTTGATTCAGTAGAAATATCAGCCGTCATGCAGACGCTGCGGAATCGGGGCATAGATGAAGTATATGTAAACATTCTGGAATAAATCTACAGGGGATCAACTGCTACCATAGTGCTTCATAAAAAAAGCAACAGAATACCAATCATGAAGGGTGTAAGGCAGGGAGACACAATCTCCCCAAAGCTATTTACCGCGTGCTTACAGGAGGTTTTCCGAGGCCTAGAGTGGGAAGAATTAGAGATAAGAGTTAATGGAGAGTACCTTAGTAACCTGCGCTTTGCTGATGACATTGCATTGCTGAGTAACTCAGGAGACGAATTTCAACTCATGATTAATGAGTTAGACAAGGAGAGCAGAAAGGTAGGTTTTAAAATAATCTGCAGTGGTGTATTATTTCTGTACAAATCTGAATTACCCTCCCAAAGCCCAACGTGTGTGTATGTATATATGTATGTATGTATGTATGTATACATATATATATATATATATATATATATATATATATATATATATATATATATATATATATATATATATATATATGGAGTTAAATTGATACTCAAGATTCCTTCAAGTGCCGAGAATTGTGCTTTTGATTCCTTGTCTTAGTTATCAGTTGTGTATATATTCCTCATCAAGGTTGCTACCAAGAAAAGATGAAACTACCTGCAATTTTAAAACAGCGACACTCTGTTTTAAGCGAAATTTCTGTTTGACAAGCAGCAGGTCAGATTTTGCTATAAATTGCAAGCCAACTGTAACACTGCCTACCAGGCAAAGTTCAACTTACGTGAATATAGAAACCTGTGTAGGAAATAAATGCTACAGTTATTATCAAGAACAGAAGTAGTGTGAACAACAAGGAATCTAATCCAAAATACTCACGTCATTTTTTAAACTCAAGACGTCCCGACGCCTACGCCCATGGCTGATAACTTTGGGATGCACCCGTTCATACCTAAGAAAGTCCTTCCGGACACCTGAAACACAGACAATAAAGTCACATATTTAACAATGAAAATTAAAGCTTACAATCATTTTACACTCTGTATAGCAATCACTGCACTTCACTTTATTTTTTTTTTTTTCAGTTTGCTCAAGTACTGTTAGATATAAGATATAAGATATATGTACAATACTTATAATCTGCATGTAACTGATTAAACCGATAAAACATTTACACGTGGGACGTTTTGTTTTGCTAAAAGTGTTAGATGAATGCAAACCAGCAGCTTCACGTAGAGGATATGTATGCTGAATATGAGTAGAGCTTCATGTTTTTGAATAAATCGAAAAAAAAAATTCCGATAAGCATTCACTGATAAAATTTTAGCAATTTGAATTTATTCAATAAACTCTGATTTTGAAAGCGCATTTGGAACACCCAAGGGGCATTTTCAAAGCTGACAATAATGAATCACTAGAGAGCACATCCATCAGTGGCATTAGCCTCATAAAGTATGCTTGCATCGATTACAACTAAGATTTGGGTGCACGTTAAAGAACCCCAGGTGGTCTAAATTTCCGGAGCCCTCCACTACGGCGTCTTTCATAATCATATAGTGGTTTTGGGACGTTAAACCCCACATATCAATCGATTACAACTAAGGTTGTAATACAAACAAATGTAGGTGTAGTGTATTGAGGTAGTTGTGCTTGTGTGTATGCGTATTTGTGCAATCAAATCTTCCAGACATTTAAAATACACTTTGTGGGTTCACGTATCATTAAAAAAATTAAAGAATGGAGAAGTAGGATTATTGGCAGCAACTGAAGGACATTTCGTTGGAAATATTTACTTATTTATTTTCAAAACTGTGAACCTCAGCCTTGGAGTCATTACAAGGGTACATTTACATGGTATTCAATCACGAAGATCAAATAATAACATTTCAAGTAACATATGGATTCACTTACACAATTGGTATGAACATCGAAATAGAAGAAACAATCAATACTTCATACAATGAAGAACAAGGAAATATTCGCATCAAAATTTGATGTATAAAAATATGTATATATCTAGCACATCTTTAATGCTGGCACAATAATCATTGCCTACAAGCGCATCAGGCCAACCATTCTGCATTTTATTTATGCGAAAGAATACTGAAAAGAAAGGCATCAATTTGAAATGCACCAAATTTTTTGGTATGCCTAATATAAGAAGAGCAGGACAAATGACGATGACTGAATCAACAATATGTGCAGTTTTCTAGCGGCAAGCTCGAGAAACTGCAGACTTGCGCATACCAAGTCGGATATTGCAGCAATGAATTGAATGAACAAAAAAAAATTTGTTTTATCCCTTCATTTTACCTAAAAAATGAGAAATGGTGGGCTGAACCAAGCACTGTCAGGCCTGCTACAGAGCACGGCGCAAAAAGAAAAGAGAAAAATAACAAAGGTATGCAAAGCATTGGCACACTACTGTAGGTTATGCATGGTTCTTAACCCTGCACTGAATGCGGATGATAGCCTGTCGGCATTGGTAGAATTTGTATTCAGTTTATTTTATTAGAGTATTGTTAGTGACAAAAATAACTTTTCAAGGACATCGCTGCTTGAGTAATATTCTTTCAGACTGAACATGTGCTTATGACGAATAGGGCCCGACTGTGAAAGCGTGCCATGCTTGGACAGATCTACCTTGTAGTGGCCATGTAGCAACTGGTATAAGAACCTCAGGCATGTCTCTTCTGCCTCATTAGTTAGTTTATCGATGCCAGAAGAAGCCAGAAGGTTAGTGTGAGAATCTGTATGTTTGAGCTTGTTGCGTACAAACCATATGGTTTTGCATTGTACCGCCTCTAATTTACTTAGTGAATGAGGAAACATAACTACGTTGGCATATTCTAATACTGGTCTTACAAACATGGTGTAAGCCAAGAGTTCTGTGGGAGCTGTTGCAATTCTAAGTCACCTTTTTAGGTAGAAAAGTTTATGCAGTGTGGCTGCAGTGACGTTAGCTATGTGTGTATCTCATCTAACGTCATATGTTAATGTAATGCCTAAGTACTTGTGCTTTAGATTAGCCAGTAGTGAACCATGAATGGTGCAAATGAACTGTGATGGATTCTTTATTTGCTACCCTCGGTCGTTGGTAACAACTTTATTGGAAGTCCGGCAGAGCTTTCACCGACCAGGCCTTAGGGTCTCCCGTGTGGGGACGTCAAGACCTTGCTTGACTGCCGCCTCGATCAGGCTAATGTGGTCTGTGAAGCCGTTGATCTCCTTATAAATGATGCAGTCGTCTGCATACTACTTGATATTGCAATCAATGTTTCTCGTGAGGTCATTTATGAAAATTAAAAGTAATAGTAGTCCCAAGACCAAACCTTGAGGGACCAAGAAAGTCACGGGGGTCATGTTTGACGTAGGACCTTCATACAGCGCATTAAGTGTGAGTGATTTGTTGAAAAATTTTTTATCCAAGAAAGCAGGAACCTTTCTCCTATCGCACTTTTCAGGTTTAGTAGTAACTTATGGTGACATACACAATCAAAAGCTTCAGATAAATCAAGTGAAATCATGTCTGTTAATAAGACCACATTGCTACAACTTATAATGCAAAAGTAAACACTGAATTTGGGAGAGCTGTAGATTTAAGAGAAATAAACTCTTATAAACACCAAATTATTTCACAAAAAATAAACTCTGAAAACACTGAGCCCTAAATATGAGTCAACATGCACAAACAAGTGAAGCTCACCATATAGTACTATGCACATTTCATTGATGCATCTAAAACCATAGTATTGCATGTGCTTCAACTAATAAATTATAGACATGAAGTAACATTAAATGTGGGTTATTGGTTGCTTCTGCCAATAAATGTTAAACGAAGAGCACGAGAAGTCAATTTTAGCTAAGTCCAAAAAATGAGAATTCAATATATGTGGACAAACTAAAAGTTATTATTCTGAGACCATTAAAAAAATACACACATGCACACGTCCAAACGTGGGGGAAGGGGGGGAGAGGGGCAGATATATTTGCGCACCAACAGCTCATCTTTGCACCATCTTTGTTCAACATACATTTTTTTTTTCACACAGTACAGATTTGTTATAAAAATTTTATGACAGTCACGCTTCTGTCATTTTTACACACTTAAACTGTACCAAGGTGGAAATACTTTGCCAGAACTAAAATGACATAGATGTGACTAATTAACGAAGACTCGTTATTTAAGCTTTTTTTTATTTTGGCCTTAATGCATTATTATTAGAAAGTTGTAGCGCACAATAATTTATGACATACTCATTTTTTAGAAATAACAGAAGTTGCACGTAGTTCCAAAACATTGATCATCAAACTTCAAGGGCGAAACCAAAACTAATCGAGCCCAGCGCGCCGGAGTGCGACAACTCTGCTATGTCAGACAGCACCTGCCCGCGTGACAGGGAAGTGACAAAATTTGAATCAAGGCGCGCCGATGCCGTATCTTTCCGTGAAAAACTGCAAGTCATCTCACTTGTGCCAGCGCATCGCCTTATTTTTGCGTGCAGAGTTCGGTGCTTATCTGTCGATCTCTTTCAAGGTGAGCACAAGAAAACGGCAAGCATAAAACTCGGGGGCCATCGCGCATCTTATTGCAGACAGGCAAAATGCTTTTCCCTCCTCTTCATAATTTAAGGAACAGGCCAGCACTGCACATCGCATGGAAACAATGTATGCTGTCTACTTGTGTAGAAAATTTATTCATAATGCTTGCCGATTCTTCTGACAAGATGCTGCTACGGCGCGCCTTGAATCCAAGTCCGCCACTTTTCTGTCACGGGCAGTTTAGCTCTGACGTAGCAGAGTTGTCGCGCTTTGCGAGTGTCGCGATCAGTTTCGATGCACTTACGCCGTTTTATCGAACTCGAGGCACTGCCAATAGTTGCGCGTATCCATCGACAGGTTTACTGCTTATGGTACCAATGATAACACGAATACTGAATGCACTCTACACGAGGGCACACAAGAGTCGCTATTTCTACAGCATAAATACATCGCATGGAATGCCTGGCCAAGTCTGTCAAAGATGGACTCCAGACTGCAGACATCTTCCGCGCGGAGGACGATGAAAGCGAGCGGATCGCGACGAACGTGGTCGCCATGCCACGGTGTCCTTCGGCCGGTGCGGCACACAAAAGGCCATTATCGGCCACGGCAGTGCGCCAGACACGGAGAACAATGCACCGCCACCGCAGCTACAGCCGCCTGCTACACGTAAACTCGCTCACGGTTCCCGCTTGATCCACCCGATATTGATCACAAATACCATTGTCATGTTTGTTGCTGCAGTGTTCCGAGCCACGTTCGTTCAGGCTCACGCCACGGCGGCAAAGTATAAACGACCAGCGTCTTGAAAGACGCGCGCGCAGAAAAGCACGAACATGCGTTGCGTCGACAGGTGGACCCTGCACCGCAAATGGTCGTCAAGGTTCGATTTGAGCAGAAGATCTCGGTCGCGTCAAGTCGCATCACTGCGTCCATCCGAGAAGGTGCCTGTAGCATGTCGAAGAACATCCACGAGCGGCGTGAGAAAAATGAGCTTATAAACAATGCACAAGTTGATTGATTGATTGACTGATTGATATGGGGGGTTTAACGTCCCGAAACCACCTTATGATTATGAGAGACGCTGTAGTGGAGGGCTCCGGAAATTTTGACCACCTCGGGTTCTCTAACGTGCACCCAAATCTGAGCACACGGGCCTATCATATCCGCGTCCATCGGAAATGCAGCCGCCGCAGCCGGGATTCGATCCCGCGACCTGCGGGTTAGCAGCCGAGTACCTTCACAACTAGGCTACCACGCCGGGGCTAAGGCACTAGAACATATATTAGTTCGAGAAACGAAAGACGAGAAAACAAACAGGCGCGAACTCGCAACTCCGTTTATGAAAGGAAGGACGCGAAATATATACGCTCGAGAGCGCATGGGCGTAAAAAAAAAAAAAAAAAAAAAAAACGATAACACACCATGACAG